CCCCCCCTCTCCCCTCCGACAGTTCAGCCCGCACTAACTTCGTTATAACGTTCGGTACTGTATTTACGTAAATGACAGAAATAACAGGAAGGGGATTGGCAGCTAACTAAATAAAGACTAAGGGTGAATGTCAAATGATGAAAAAGAAAATTCTAGCTGATCCTCGTCTAACAGTTTTCATCACTCATGGTGGACTAGGCAGCACTACCGAGCTGGCTCATTTGGGTAAACCAGCCATCCTTGTAAGTTGTCATTGCCAATAGCTTCCAATTACTCTGAACCTTCTGCTACTTTACGTATCTTTGAGATGCCCGTCTTTGCTGATCAGACCAGGAACGCCCACATGCTGGCTAAACATGGTGGAGGTATCGTTCTAACAAAGTTTGCCTTGGAAGATCCACAGATCATCCGAGATTCTCTGAAAAAGATCTTTAACGATGCCAGGTATGACTTTGTTGGCCGCAGAAATCCTTGCAACACGACGTTGTCTTTGTGGAATGAAGAGATTTCAGCTATTCTCGAAATGCCAAACGACTGTCAGAGATGCTTTTGAATCAGCCGATCAGCGCCGAGCAGCTCCTCATCAAACACTGCGAATTTGCTGCCAAGTGAGTTGACTTTACATCAATAAAATTCAGTTACTTCAAGATACCAATAGAAGTAGAAGTCGAAAAAGGGGTTGCCATCAAGCTTACATGCACAGGTTCAAGGTTTGCATACAGGACGATGATTCTTCAAAATTTAACTGGGATGGGGTAGATTCACCTATACAGCATATGCCACCCAATTCGCAGCGAAAGACCCCAAGATTACTTGATTCTGAAGATTACTTGTTGATGATCCTTCGTGAACATCATCCTCGGGAACCGGCCTAGCTTCATTTGGACAGCACAGTCCCGTATTTCTACGTCGGTTAATTTCAGATTTGGACGTCTTCCAAATCTTGATCCCTATGGCCGGCACTTGTCTTTCATTGAATATTTCTTGATTGATATTTTCGTTGTTGTTACTGGTGTCGTTATTCTTGTTGCTTATGTTGCTTTTAGGATTGCTAGGAGGTGTTTCACTGTCAAAGCTAAAAGTAAAATCGAGTGAAGTTAGTGAGTATTTGGCTGTATGGATGAGTTTTATTGATAAAGATATTCATTATTACTGGATATTTCCTAACAAAGGCCAACCTCGACACAGCTGAAGCCTACGGGAGAAGCTAAAAAATCTCTGTTCACTGCAGTGACTAGTCCATAAATTTGAAGTTCTCGCAATGAATGGGGGAATTTCGTTTGATTTTGTTT